AGATTAGTAATAACTAATAACATTGATTTAAAAATTAAAAGGACAAATATGAAAAAGGTAAAAAATAGATAAAAATATAAAATAAATAAAACCCGTCCGCAATTTACTGTCAGCGGGAGTGTACATGCCTTAGTCTATCATAAATAGATTAATGTACTCTCCAATTAGTGACATAATAAAGTATGGTAAATTACCTCATTTTCTTGCATATAATATAATATTAGGTAGATAGTCGTTTAAAACCTTAATCTTAAAAATCGCACTATTAATTGTAATTCATTGTTATGTGATTTTAAATTAACAACTATACCTATATTTTTCCAAATAGGTAGGTACTGCATAAAATTATGTACTACATAAAATGTTACTTAGGTACTAATGATTTAATTGTTTTCAGATTATTTATTAAATTACATGTTTGTACCCAGGCTTATAAAAGTCTTTGTATTTAACAATTAATGTCTTTTTATAAACTGAACTTTTTTATAAATATCACCATGGCCACTAGATAAATGAAACAGAACACAAAATGGAGTATAATTTGTCATTTGTGTTTGCTTTTTAAATGGGTACAAGTATACAACTAATTATTTACTTGATAAACTTGATACTACAAAAGTACAACATAATTAAATAAAAACAAAAATATTATCCTATTGATTGTAGCCCAAGACAGATTGAATATTATGTTTTACATATTATATTAAAATAATTTAAAAGGAAATTTATATTCTATTTGGTTCGTTTTTTTTTTTTTATTATAAACTGTGTTTTTTGTCTAAATTATTTTTATAGTTCAAGATGTCAAACAGACAACCAGGTCCTTATTATTCTGGAAATTTTTAAAATGTAGAATGTAGAATGTAGTTATTTTAGTATATAGGTACATTCAATCCGTAAGTGATAATCCATGATAAATATTTCTTTGTCGTGTTATAATCATTATATTACAATTTTCAGTACATAATTACATTTTTGTTTCATTGTATTTATTCCGTACCTAGGTACATATTATTAAGTTTTGATTGTAACAAATATTAAAAATGAAAATGTATAATATTGATAGGTATGTTGTAAATTAAATATTGTTCTTTTACATAAAGCATCTTATATTAAAAGTAAGCAATGGATACCTACCTAATTTAGATTTGTTAATAAATAATTCATACATGTTATTATTATCAATATTATTTATTCTAAACTTGGAACTTAGAAATATTGACCACAGATTTTAGCTTTAAATACACCATTAAGAAGTGCTTCTAAAACTATATTACGTGAATAGTTTAAAATTTAAAATGTTTCATTTTCAAGTTAAAATCGTTCAAATTATTTGTGGTAAATAAATGATTGGTCCTGCAGTACATTTGGAAAGGTTTTGTAAATGTTGGTCCTCAGTTCCTCGCAGTACTGTGAGTGTGCTTGATTTTCCGTAAAAAAAAAAATACTTATTCTGCTCATCTCCCTGAGATGGGCGTATTTTTTAATTTTCCCCGGGTGTTAAAAAGCTATGATCCGGCGCTGTATGTAACTAACACCCGACTTTCTGTTTAAAATATGGTTTACCTACTGTTTTTGATTCAATATATTATATATACCATACTAAATCAAACTGTTCAATTACGCACACAATTTGCTAAAATAAATAAATAATTTTAATAGTATCAATGACATACTGCAAGTTAGTTTAAGTTAAATTATACTTTTATTAAAAACGATGTAATAGATAGGTATGTATACTAAACATATTATATTTTTTAACAAAACAACAAAAATGGCAATGTACCATATTCAAATGGATTTTAATATTGACATCCCTATGATTAATTTTGTTAATTACATGCAGTAAATAGCCTTGATCTGATCATAACAATGATCGTATATTTATTTTCTTGAAATTAATTAGGTACATTAAGACAGTGTAATTTATTAGTACACCTAATTGTGTTTATAATATGTTTTTATCATTTATCATACAATAAACACACATTTATATAAATATATAGGTACTTTGGGATTTTCTATTTTTTGTAAATTAATGAACTTCATAAATATCGACTTAATAATCGAATTATCGACGTACACTTTTTTAATTACAAAAAGGGCTGGTGCCCTATGGATCATAATTACACGTTGAACAAAGTGCGCTGATAGTTTAGAAAATCGATTAGGTGTATGGTTTTTTTTTACTTCAAACTTTTGGACAGACCCAAAAGCCACAAAAAAGAGATGTAAAATATTATGCGTACTTACACCTTTGATGACTGATAGCTAGACACTCAAACTTTTAAACATTCCCGCCAATGCGCCAAGCATTATCTCAATCTTAAAATCATATCACTAAAGGCGTTATCATAAACCACGAATTAAGATATACAGGATGCCGAACGAGAGCTTATCAGGTGAAGACGGAAGTTTCCAAAAATCCAGAATGACTTATAGCGCTTTTAGCCACAGTGGCGTTTAATGAACTAAAACAGTGCTACCATCTAGCAAGAATTACAGTTTTACGTATCTTTATCGTACAAATTATCATCATGTTAATTTCCCGCTACTTTTATGAAATTGTATTAATGTTGGATATGTAATTATTAGATCATAAAATGCATTATGAATATTATGAATGATGATGAATGGATGTAAATAAAGATATAAAATATGATAAATTGACTAATATTTAATTTTGGTATTGGGCCTGAAAACGAATACAGTTGATAAGATATTTGTGGCTAAGCTGACTATTCATAGTATACAATGTAATATCCTCATGCTTGTATTAAATCAACTGATTTTACTTATTTAAACGATTATAATACAGACTGTGAGCTATTAATTATTAACGTTCGTTTAATAAGGAGTAAATTGTTATACCCAAATAGTATACCAGGTAAGTATATTTAGTTAGACTAGTTATGTCTAAAAATTACCCTGTCAAATGCTGTGTACCACATTGTACATCAACTGACAAGTCGAGATTTGGTATACCAAAAGATTTGTTTTTAAAATGGGAGGAAGTAATAGGTGTACCATTAAAACCAAATTCAAAAATATGTGGTGCTCATTTTTTGAAAAATGATATTGTTAGTACTTGGGAATCAGGTACAGCAGAAAATAAATATTCAGTAAGTACCTATAGTTTAAAAATTGATTACTTAAGAAGTTAGTTTATTAAATTGTTACAAATAATTCATAAACAGTTAACACATTTAATTTTATATACATTTAGATATGCCTTAAAAGACCTCGATTGAAACCTGGTTCAGTACCTAAACTATTGTTAAACACAAATAATTATACTGAGATATCAATCGAGGATAACAATAGCTGTAACATACAAAACGAATCAGGCATTGAAGTACATTTTCAAATACTATTCTATATAATATATTCATACAATTAATAATTATAATATATATACTTAGATAGATGAGTTCATGGATTGTAGTAATTTTGATTCACCTGTTAATAGTTTATCTACACAAAATGAATATGGCATAGAGGTAATATGCTTATAAATACTATATAATATAATATATAAAATAAAATATAATTGAGCGTTTGTAAAGGTTGAAGAAAATACTATAAATATAAAAAACATCAGTAATGCTCAAGAAAATTTGCAAAAAAATTCTGACATTCTTTTAGAAATATCAACTACAATTAAACTACCTGCTAATTGGTTTAGTGATATAACAACAAATCCAGTTAACAAAGAGAGAATCTTAACATTTTTCACAATGGGACAATATAATGAAAATTACCAAAGAATTGTTGAAAAACAATTAGTACTTTCATCAAGTATTTTAAATTTGCCTATTATTTATTAGTGTTTACATTTTAATTTGCGAGCTAATGAAAATAAACGAATGAATTTATTTTACAGCTTTAGATATAATTATGCATGTGTTGAATGAAAAATTATCGAACAACGAACAAGAAATGTTTTATCCAAATGTACCACTCACAATAGTTTATGCTAATGTTATATCCAGAATAATAAACATGTTTAATACTGTAAAAGTATGTTATGGATCAGATCCAGTCTCAACATACCCAGATGTAAAACCTAGTTTGGAACGTCAAATTATAAATAGCAATTGGAAACATTATAAATGTTCAAAAATTCTAGTCACCAATGCGTAAGAGTTATAGTAAACATTTTTTTAAACTATAATCATTAATTACTGTTTTGTCAATGATTTTACTATTATTACAGTGAAATGTGTGTTATGTGTAAACGACTCTCAGATTCTTTGAGAAAAATGCAAAAAAGAACACTTATTGGAAAACCAGTAAGAGTATATTTTTCACCGTCTAAAAGATCTGTTTTGGAAAAATTCAAACAAACTAAAAAGATTGCAACACAAAAAGTTGTACGAGCAAAGAAAACCATTTTAAGGTTACAAAATTATTTAAGCGATTCAAAACAACAAATGAAAAATACTTCAGATAGTACACTTTTAAAAATGATTGAGGACCATGGGATTTCAAATTCTCAATCAGAATTGTTGAAGGAAATGTTTGCTGCTGCTAAAATCCAGAATCCAAAAAATAGACGTTACTCTGAAAACTGGATGTTGTTATGCTTACTTTTTCAAATTCGGTAATATTTATTTGAATAATAATTAAGACTTAAGTCATTATTAATACTTAACACATTTGTTTTGACAAATTTTTTTTACAGTTCACCATCTGGATACAAATTTCTAAGGAATCAAAAGTTGTTACCCCTACCATGTGTAGATACAATAAGAAAGCATTTATTGGCAATTAAAGGGGAATGTGGTTTTGACAACAGCTTTTTTAAGTTGTTGAAAAAAAAATTTGTACACAAAACTATTGATCAAAAAAAGGGAATATTACTACTAGATGAAGTATTTTTAAGAACAAGCTTAAGTGTTAATAGTAGGAACCTTACCTACACTGGTTTAGAAGATTTCGGAAATGAAATTTATAGTAAAACTGAAAGCTCTGAGTTAGCTGACCACGGTCTTGTTTTTATGTGGCAAAGTTTAGCTGATAATGTCACTCAGCCTATAGCAGTCTTCGCATCAAAAGGACCAGTTAAAGGTAAAATTCCCAATTATAGTTTTGCTTTTATTTCTTAAACAATATAAAGATCTTTGAAGCATTAAAATGTTAAAGATTTAAATGTTTTGTCTCACTATTTGAAAATATTCATAGGCGTTGAATTGGCTCAGTTAGTCTTGAGGGCTATCTTATTACTGGAAGACGCTGGACTACAAGTACTAGGTTTGACATGTGACGGAGCTTCAACAAATAAAACCATGTGTAAGACATTCGGTATAAGTGGGATTCAATCAGAATTCAATAATTCTTTTGATAATCCTTTTGACGAGAGTCGTAAAGTCTTCGTGTTTTTTGATGCTCCTCACATTATCAAAAACATCAGAAACCGACTGGTACAGAATAAACAGTTAAAAGTAATATTATTTTATATTATATCATTAATTTTAATTTAGTTGTAAGAAACAAAATTATTTTTCAGTTACATCATAGTAAAAATCTTATAAAATGGGAACATTACTGTAAGGTACTAGAAAACGACTCTAAGTTTATACTTAAAGTATGTCCCAAGATAACAAAGAGCCATATAGAACTTAACAATCTTTCAAAAATGAAAGTTAAGTATGCCACGCAGGTAGGTATAATAATTTTGTTATTATGTTATAGTTACTATAGTACTATAAAATTATAAAATATTTGATTTTGGTGTGACAACTATGTATTAAATTTTTTTGAAAAAAAATGATTATGCATTTAGTTGTTTAGTAATTCAATGGCAATGGGGCTACGGTTTTACCGGGAACAAGATTGTGAAGGTTTAGAAGATTCGTCGGAGACAGAATTATTTACTTTACAAATGAATAGCATGTTTGATGCCCTTAACAGGAAATTTCCAGCTGAAGGCATTAGAAAGAATAGCAAGGATTTAGAGGTTTATTATGTGTTGCATGGTTTCTGTGTTTGTGTGTTCAAATTATTTATAGGATATGTATGTAGATAATTTTATGTCATGTAATTAATTGTTTGTAAGACTAGTGTCAGATATTTGTTTATAATAATTTTTTTACTAAAATCAATTGTTTATACAATACAGGTATTAAAACAGAGCTTAGTTTGGTTAAACAACTAGGAAAAACAATTAAATGATGGGTATTTACATGAAAAACAGTTTTTAACCAAAACTACTGCCGAATCATTGAGAATAACACTCCAATCGACCATTGATTTGACAAATTATTTATTGGATGAATGCAACTTTCACTATGTACTTACAGTAAAATTTAACCAGGACTCATTAGAAGTAAGTGTTACAAAATGTAGAAATATGCCTACTAGTTATAAGTTATATGATAAATGTATTAATATACCTGTATGGTACCTAAATAATGAAAAACAGAATAGTTTGTTATGTGAGGTTTACTTACATTTATTTCTAAAATACAAATTTCAGAAATTTTTTGGAATTATTAGACAAGCTTCAGGTCCCAATGATCATCCATCCACTCCGACATTCATTCAACTCTATAGACTTCTCTCAGTATACTCTTTGGTAAAGCCACCCAAAACTGGAAATTGTTCATTATCTGGAGGTAACTTGAATCTCATTAAATGTCTTTATTGATACCTTAATAAAAGGTTATTTATTATTATTCATCAATACTTAATTAAAGATTCTGATTACATACCATATATAAGTATTGGTGACTTAAAAGATGCAATGAAAGAAAACTCCACACAAATTAGAGATGCTAAAATTTTAACACTTAGACATCATATTGACCAAGTGATTGAAGAAGGACTTTGGGATGTTGATGACATTTTTAGGAATAACGATTTTGCTGATGCCGAAACATTTGAATGTGTCGTTTATTATGTAGCAGGGTAAATATGACATAGATTTTTTATAAATTAAAATTAATAATTACTTGTTACAATATAATAGATATTTAGCAAAATGTGTGAGCAAGAAAACGAGTTGTAGTGCATGTTTATCTGGAATAAAAAACACTGACAACCATTCCAATACACAGGCTGCAAAGCTTCTTAACCTAAAGTCTCGTGGTTACTTAACACATCCTGATAGCAATTTTTTCATGCTTCTAAAACAAATTGAGAAGTGTTTTGTTAAACACAAAGACAGCCAAAATGTATTTGACGACACAGTAGATGAATTTTTTAATAATAATTACCTTGTTCCTTTTCCGTGTGCAATCCACAAAGAAGATATGGTTGAATTTATATTTACATCATATATTGCAATGAGAATGAGACAATACGCATACATGACTAATCACGAAACAAAAAGTACTAACAAAGTTAAAAAAAAAATAGCCAAATTGGTATCAAAATAGTTGTAAGTTTTTAAACAGTTTTATTTATACAAATTGAATGTTATGACACTTGTACTTAAAATCAATAAAAATGTATTTTGCATACCTATTAAATGAATTGTTATTATATCAAAGAAAACTTTTATTGTACCTATTAAATATTATTCAATTGTTGAAAAATATGTCTTGTATACCATCTAAGGTAATAATTAATATTTTACTTATGTGAATATACTTGATAGTCGTAATCATACAAAATTAGTTAAGGATTTCGCCACCGTAACCATTTTGGCGCCATAAGTTAATTTGGGAACCTGGAAACTTTCGACTTCGCAAAAATACTGATAACGGGCTGTCGTTCGGCATCCTGTATATCTTAATTCGTGTCATAAACCCTATTCCTTAGAACAATTATCCAACATTCGATTTACAACAGACACGAACAATACTTCCAAAATCGATGACCCCACATTCAGCGAGTCTCATATAGGTCAAATAGAATCTATATTTTTGATTATTCACTTATCTACGCAACTAACGGGGTCCGCAATCCACCGTAGGTGGAGTGCATACCTGATGATATATGCTTCGCATATTGCTTACCGATGTGATTTTATGACCGATAGCTAGACAATCAAATACACATATCGACTCTACACTTTTTAACAATTTCAACAACCAAAAGCAGCTGACAAACGCATAGAGATCCTGGAGATCGTATCCATTTACAATGTTCGTGATGGATTGCTAGACGCTCAAACTTGTAACATTCCCGCCAAAGCGCCAAGACTTATCTCCAATCCTTATCACTACTCCTTATCACAAATCCTAAACTTTCGTCTTACAACCTTTGAGACTTTTATAATTCCAACGACGTTGTCTCCAAAATCGGTACACACTCTCAGCGAGTTCCACGGGCTCCGAGTTTCACTTAGAGCTAGTCTCTTATATTATAAAACGAGGTTAGTCCCCAGTTTTGTCCGACAGGCGCGACGCAGCAAATAAGGAACGCCAATCAGAAAATTCCGTCGCCGCGGCCCCACGTTATCACTTATTTTCTTATCATTTCGCCGATTTTTGAAATTTTCGAAAATTTACACTTTTCACACGATTTCGACCTTTTTCGAGCCTTTTTCGCTCATATTTATATTTGATTCGCGTAGCTCGCGATCTCTCGAAGCTGCCGGTGGCTGGTTTATATCCTTGCGCCGTCCGTAGCCGTGGCAAAGTCGATCGCAAAATACGCTCCCGGCCGGACTTTTTTGCCGATTTTTTTCGTTTTCTCCGACATTTTCATCTTTTCGCACGCCGTTCGTACCCGAATCGTTTAGTTGACGTCTTTCTAAAGCTGTATAGATACGTTTTTCTTACGAAATCGGTCGGTTCGCTTCGCAATCGCGTTTTGAAATTACAACCGACCATACGCGTATATATACATGTATATACGTGTATAATTTAAATTGTTGCCTATTGATTTAATAATTATTAACGGAAAACGCTTTTCACGCGCTCCGTTAAATATATATATGGGAGATGCGCGTATTACAAGCGAATTGTATGCGATTACATCAATGTACATCGAATATATCGGCTTACGTTGCTCCGTAGACGCACGGCTTAAGTGTTGATAGGTATTTTGACCGTATTTCACATCTCAAATTGTGTCCGAGTAGGTTAGGCGCATGGCTTAAATATACAAGGTTATTGCAGTAGTACCCCCACTAAATCGTTTTATCTTGTTAAGAAATTAAAATGGCAGCGTAAGGGGCGATGTTTTGATTGGCTGTATATTATATGAATATATACATTATACATTATATAATTAAGTGATAACAATAATTGATAAAGAATCGTGACCCTTACGCTGCCATTTTATTTTATTTGATAACAATAATGGCTATGTGCAATAACCTTGTATATTTAAGCCATGGTTAGGCGTTAGGTAGAAAACACGTAGGTGCAGGGTTCGATTCCGTCGTACGCTCTCAGGGCGTCGTTGCCGTCAGTTCCATATGGTTTACACGGCCGCCCGAATCCCGATTTTTTTTACATTTTTTTTCCGTAATTTTACAAATTTCCGATCTTTTCTCTTAACTATTATTATTATTTTAACTTTATTTTGTGTATGTACGTTCAATTTTTTTTAATTAATCTACAATATTTCATTTTTTATGTATTATAATATACCTACTATGTATTTACGTAGGTAAACATGTTTTTTTTCGATTTTCTTACGTTATTTTACAAATTATACTTAAGTTATAATAGGTACTTATAATTTACCTTGTGTATGTATAGTAAACTTTTTTCTACCAAATTTCGTTGTTATGTATTATACACAGATTTCTTTACGTTGATAAACATTTTTTTCAATTTACGATCGTTTTTCTTTACAATTACATATTATTCAATAAATACGTAGGTACACTCTGTGTTACCTACATATTACCTGTATATAAAATGTTTATGTGTTTATATAGTAGTTTTTGTTCAGAACATATACAGACCGATACCACCTCAACAATAGAAAGAGTTCATTAGATAAACAAAACAAAAGTTCATTCTTCATAAAATGTATTTATAAAACTTTCAACAACAGTAATAATAATATATTGGTACCTGCAACCTGAGTACCTATTTTATACAATAAATAATTGAAAACATTTAACGACAGTGTATAACAATATTAGATATTATATATTATTGTATGTAGTATATATTATGTATATAGTTAATGTTGATATAATATATTTGTTAATGTTTTGAAAAATAAAAAAAAAATAACTATTTTGTTATGGCGTGTATTAATATGTATTTTAAAAAGCTGAAACAAAAACACAATTATTATTACAATATTTTAAAACAAGTGTTAATAATAATAATAATAATATTCCTTACAGTATCTACGGGACTTCACCGTCTTCGTCTTCGGTGTCGCCGGGGCCGTTGGTGTCGCCGTCTTCACCGTCTTCGCCTTCTTCCTCGCCGGGGCCTCCTTCCTCCCCGACGCTTTCGGCTTTTTAGCCCTTGGCCCTTTGGGTTTGGTGCCTGTAATACAAATAATAACATTAAATATAAATATCATGAAAATGTATGTTATATTGTCATATAATATATAATCTTCTAAATACTCCCATTTGCGGGCGATATGCCCGTAGCCGTTGCAGTTAAAGCAACCTGAAACAGATATATTTAGAAATTAGAGTATTCAAAATTAACGTAGCCTATTAAAATGTTGACAAAGTTTTTTAACTTTTAATAAACTTACGGCGTACGGGCATTTTCGTGGTTTAGCTGGCAGGTGAATTATTACCGTAATAATTCACCTGCACAGCCGGGCAATTTTCGATTGAAAAATTGTGGTTATTCATTCTGAAAAAAATGAACAACTAATTTACACAACGTAAACAAACTTTTTACGAACTGATCCAAGCACATGGGAAACGGTACATGGACGTCCCCCCCCCCCCCCCCGGGAATCTTAACGGTACTGGACGATTCCCCCCCGACTCAATATACATTTTTTTTACACATAATAATAGCCAATAGGTTTGAAAATAGATTCTTTGGATTTACCCGAAATATACGATCATCATAATATAATATCATAATATCATATCGGCATCTATCGATTATCATCATTCACGTTATTTATTTAGTACCCAATTTAATGGGTAATGATATAATGGTACCTACCTCAAATTATCTAAACTATTAACAACATTTTTTGCTTCTATGTCTCTTAGTAGTTAGTATAGTTCGTAACATTGTGCTTAAACAGTTCGTTTTTGTGCATTTTATAATGGACATAATAGAAATAATTGAAAGAAAAAGAGATGGTAAAAAAATTATTATATTTCAAAATGTTGTATAGGTAATATGTTAAACAAAAACGTGTTAAATTGGGGATACGTTGCAATTGTATAAAAAAATCTAAAAATAATGAAAATAGTTGTCAAGGAAGTATTACAACCGATGACAGTATTAAAGTTATATGTATACAAGTTATGTGTAATTAATAATTATATGACGTTATTATATTCCGTGAGCTACCTATCCTACCAGAATAAATTGAATCGCGGAAAAAAATAAATATAAATATAAATTATATTGGTAAGTACCGAACAATATAAATTAAATTAAATGTCAAAAGGTTTATCAATAGTTGGGTGGTAAAAATGCAATTTATTAACAGGTTTTTCATCAGTGGTTCATGGCAGTATCAAACCCCCCATATAAACTATAATCTTGAGATACGAAAAATTGCATTAAAAATGCATTAATCTGGGAAGAAATTAACTCAATTTTAAAACAACTTAAATAAAATAACCGTGGTATGAATAACAACGAAGCAACTTTCAAAAAGAAAATGAGAGATATCAATGTCAAAATCCAGAACGCGTCATGTTATAGTTAACAAGTAACAAAACAATAAAATAACAATGTTTCAATTTTATTGTATCATTGAGATATTATAATATTGTGCGTTCTAATTAGTTACCTACATAAAAATCTAATTTCATATAAAATTGATGTTGATTAATAATTTATTTACAAATGTTGATAAATTGACTGATATTGGTTGAGTATTTAGTATATTATGTACAGAAGATATTCAGTGTTTTATGAGCATGTTTGAGACAATTTGTGTTGTATAAGAATATATAGTCATTGAGCAATAACCATTGTGACTGGATAAATGCCATAAACATGTATATAATTCTAATTTGAATTCTGTTTCTAATTTATATTTTATAGGACATAAAAGGTACATTATACAATCTTGGACAGTGTTACTTATATAACTATAATTGGTATCATGCATTACTATTACTAATACTACCTACACGTACCTAATACAATTTATAAAATATTTTTCTTAATAATTGTTTCTATTGACTTACGAACACAAAATTTTAGTCCCTGTTGGAATAGAGCTTCTTGCTACCCAATGAGTATTTGTTAAAGTTCCATACTCATTCACCCACTGCTTAATATCATCAACTGAATTTAAATTACTT